TCACACGTGTGCACATACACACACCCTTTACTCTGCCATGGCCCTCCACAACCTGGACTTTCCTCCTGGCCTTTGACCTCCGCTCCCCAGCCCAGCCCAGCCAGCCTCACACCTTAGCTCCATAGGCAGGACTTCCCTGGCCTCAAGAAGTGTCTCAGAGGGGCAGGAGCCAAGAGTCCCCCTGGGTCCCTGGAAGGAGCCTCAGTTCAGAAGAGCTGGGCCCCGGCTCACCCGGAAGTGACAGAGGTTCCTGTCCGTTGGTGCACTGGCCAGCACGTGCTGGGCTTCCACTTTCCCTGGAGAGGAGGGTGAAGGACTGGTGTTACTGAGGAGGTGGGGGCGGGGGCAGGGAGGGGAGGCGCCGGCCTGGCTGCCCCTTCCTGAAGATGGCCCTTGGCTGGCCTGGGACTGTCCAGGAGCCCAGTGCTCAGCAGAGGTGCTCCGTGCAGCTGGGCCCAGGCAAACAGTGACTGAGTCCTACACGCAGTCACGGCCACTCGTGCTGAGTCCGGAGGCCCTGCCGGTCACGGGGGCAGAGCTGGCCTCATCCTGTGAGGACACAGATCCCAGGGGCCTCTGCCTCCAGGGACTGGAAGCGTGGAGAGGAGGGGGGCCTGATGGTGGTGAGGCCCAGGTGGCGGGGCTCCCCTGGGAGAGGGTAAAGCACCCGTGCGCGTGGAGGACGGGCCTAGGGAGGTCTAACCGGAGGGCAGAAGTGCACCCCAAACCTGAGCCCGTGGTTCCACTGTGCTCAACACGGAACCGGCCCTGGAAGGCAGGAGATACTGATGGTCTCCACAGGTAAAACGCCCGAGACTCCATAAACTGTTCTGTGAATGGTTTTGACCCTCTGGCCTTCAGTATGCGGGGAAAGGCAGAACGCAGCCCATTCCCCCCAGGGAAAGGCTTCTAGTTACTGCGAACCAGCAAACCAGTGTCTCCACAGATGACCTGGCCCCAGCGCCCTTAGTGCAGAGGCAGAGGAATCCTGCGGGTCGCGGGGAGGGAGCTGGTGCAAACGGGAGAGAATCGGGGCTCAGGGAGGTTAAGCCACCGACCAAGGCCAGGGAGCCGGCGCGAGAGCCCGGACTCGGCCAGCGCTGCCCCGGAAAGGACACTCCTCCGCGTGTGTAACTACATGTCCAGTCGCCACCGGAGCGCGGAGGACCGCCCGGGAGGTTAACTGAACCCGCAAGTAGGGTCCCTCCAACACATAACTCATAAGATACGTTGCTTTTCCTTCGTTTGAGCCAAACCTTGCAAACCCGGAGGATATTTTATTCTCTACACTCAGAGCTTCTCAACTCGGCTCCGCCACCGGGTGCTCTCTGGCCGCGCGGGTGGCTCCTGTGGGGACAGCCGCCTGGGCC